CATAAGTTTGATACCCCTGCTCTAGCGCCTCTAAAACAGTACTTCTCAACCATCCCAATGCCGCGACTATTTAATACAGTTCCTCATGTTGTGATGACTCCCAACCATAAAATTGGTGTCTCGGTTCCTAAGACCATTGAAAATATGTGTTTTCCTATGTTCTTTGGCGACCCCTGTGAAAGGGTCATTTGACCCCCAAAGGGGTCCCGACCCACAGGTTGAGAACCACTGCTCTAAAATTTATTCTACTGATATTGTGCCAAAATCACCAAATAATAGAGGTATATAATTCCAATTAAACAAGCACAAATGCCTTCTATTAATCCTCCATTAAATTAAGTGTGCCTAATTTACTAAAAAAAAAAAAAGAAAGATCCTAATAATTAGGAGATTTTAGTTTTGCTTCCTTGGGTGATGTCGGCATCATGTTTTCTATAGCCAAAATTGTTGAAGCAAAAGATTTTCCTGCTTCTGACTATATTTAGATCTCCTCGCCCTTATGGTTCATGTTCTAGGATGCATCTGCTCTTTCTCACTTTAATTATTAAAAGCTAGAGAAGCACCAGGGCAACCGCTTTATATTCAATGGGTGATTTGTGCAAGTGCTAAACAATTTTCAATGACTTGCAGTGCTCTTTCACCTTTTTATTGTTTTGTATAAACCAAAAGAAAAAAAAAGGGAAGTAGTCTATGGTTAGACTGTGGTGAACAGCAGATTTATGTAACAATAAATAGATCAAATTTAAAAAGTTTTTGCTGTAGCTAAATTGGGGACAAATTAAGTTGTCGGTCTGGTATAGCATGATACAGAATACTATACCAATATAGTAATGGTGGCTAAAGCATCAGCGCTGGATCCAACTCTAAACAATTAAGTATAAATGCAAAATAATAACAGATCAATCTGTCAGTTAATTTCAGGCTTATATGCCTAGTTTAACTAAGTTCAACATAAGTCATATTATCCCTTACTGCACACATACTGTAAGTATATGAATCATTCATTGACTTTGTAAAATCCTTTTTTACAGGCATTTTGCTACAGCTTCGTTTTATAGCTTGTTTGTTATCTTGCCTCCCAGTTCTGGTAGGTCTTGAATAAAAAAAGAAGATATGGCCTTGAAGGTAGCTGTACTTCTGAGCTGTGTGCTGGGAATTAGTACTCTGAACCTAGAAGACCCTGAGGATGGAGGCAAGCATTGGGTTGTCATCGTGGCTGGTTCCAATGGCTGGTATAACTACAGGCACCAGGTGAGAAGGCTTTGAGTTCCAGTTGAACAATAACTGGGTAAACTGAAGACTTTGTGCTGAATTGAATGGAATTTTTGAGGACTCCCTCTACCTAGCTAAAAATGTCAGTAGACTGCACTGAGAATGAATGTCTTGTTTGTTGAGGTTTAGCCTACTCAGTGCAGGTTTTTAAAATTAATACTATCCAGATCAGTAGTGGTTTGCAGGCGGTATGCCCTGGTATGGGCGTACTGGAGCCCGCCCGGAGCATCGGATACCGTTCCGGTACGATGCTCTGGAGGGTCCCGCCTGAGCTCCTTACCGGTCTTTTAAGTCTTCGGCGCTTCCACACATGCGCACAGCGGATACAGTGCCTCCGCTGAGCAGCTGGAGTGTCACGGAGGCACTAAGATGGATGCATGCGCTGTGTGCATCTATATGGATGCTGCTGGGCCCATTCCAACCCTACCGGTTGGAACGGGATCCAGAATCCACCACTGAGCCAGATGTATAATAATAATGAAATAACCCAGAGCTAAGATGTTTAAGCCTGAGCTCCCCATCAAAGTAACAGAGAGCCGTCACTGTAACCAATCTTCCATACTTCAGTTTTCAAATATTTATTTTTACAACTTGAAGAAACTCTGCATTGGTGCAATATGGTGGAAGAAAATGTTCTTGTTACTTGTCTTAACTGTCCTCTTGAGTAGGAAGGCAGGATACACATTGAATAAGTAGAATCAAAAGATTACTATCATTCTGCTTGTAGCATAGGTTATTTAGATTTATTTAGACTTCCCAACCCATCCAGAATTCACCAAGTTGGCACCAAATCTTAAAATTTTTAGCGAAATTTGAGACACTTAAGAGGCTCGTTGTTTGTTCTTTCTTTGCTGTAGTGCAGAGATAGAACAGACATTTCTTTCTCCTCATTTAGTGGCTGCATTCTGTTCCATTGACTTGGTCATTATCACTAAGTGAATACATGAATAAGAGAGAGATGCTGCAAAGATCACTGGTTGCTACCATCTTATTCAGATAAACTTCTCTGGCACAATGTCCAACCTGTTTTTTTCCCCTTTTTGCCCCCTTCCAGGGTGGAGAGTTGCTTAAACATGCTTTCTCTTCCTGAGCTGCTCCCCCCCCCCAGTTCCCTAAAAAGTGCTAATGCAAGTTAACAAGCTCAGGACCCTGATCTTAATTAGTTGATTAGAACCCTGCTGCCTGAATCTGACCAAACTTTAATCAGTTTCACCATCAGAAAATTTTGTAAATGTTTACGTAGGACTGAAATGATTTTTTAATTACAGTTTTAATCTTTGTTTTTGTGCATGGTTTTTGCTAATTAAGATACTCACCAAGCAAAAAGTGCTGTAAATAAGGCTATCTGGTTACGTTTTGCAGTTCCAGTTCAGTTTTGTAAACATTAAGTACAAACCAGGTCAAAGAGAAATAGACAGAAAGATATGCATGGAAGAGGAAGCTTTAGGTAAGAAAAATTTCATAGACAATCACGTGAAGAGAAGTTGCAACAGAAAATGTAGAAACAGCAGCCCTCAGATTCTGCAGAAGGACATGTTTACCTTTTAAGAAGATGCTAAATAAAAGCAGCAGTGATTTTTATTGTGAATTCTTCCTCTTTTTTTCACCAAACCTGTTTGTCCTTATTGCAATTAGAAACTTGTTGACAGAGGATGGAAACTGTACTAAACTGCAATTGGCCGGAATAACCAGACGTTGCAGAAATGTGCAACCCTCTTAAAGAAGAGTCAGTCTGAAATTTTCACCAAAGGAAACAAAATGCTCATGGTAGAAACTTTCAGCCTAGCTCTCTAAGATGCCATCCCTCAAAGTTAAATGTTGAGTAATATCTGTTTCTTTCTAACAAGGAAATTAGAGGACTTCAGACATTGAACAGTGTCCAGCAGTAGGAACTTGGACAATTGTTCCTTTGACTTAGCTATAGGTTTAATTTCTGGTTTAAAAGAATTTTTCCAGTATTTTTCTAACTGTATAGAAACATTCACAAAATAAATAAAAAATTCTCACCACTTTTTCCTGCTCTTTATTTGGACTTACTACAATAGAGTGTCTGGAGTGAAAAATTATCTATTATCTATAGAGGTTGTTTTGAATATGACTCATAATTTTGCAGGTGTTGGCTTCTCCTTCCCAAGAAGTGATCCCACGCAGCAAACCACAGAAATTCAGTGAAACATGAATGCTATAAAAATATTGTCAATGTTGGCCTTTCTGTCTTTAAAACTCTGTTGCTAGATATGCAAACATTATAAGTTGTTGCAACTGGAAAGTTCCAGAATTACACCTACAGTTTACCACATCATCAGATCTTTATTATGGTCAAAGACCATCATAAGGCGGGTGAAGTATAGTCAATCAAAAAGCATAGAAAATACCTCAGAGTCTAAAGAATTAGTAATTATAAAAAACCTAAAGCAGTGGTGAAATTCAAATTTTTTTACTACTGGTTCTGTAAGCGTGGTTTGGTGGGCATGACAGGAGAAGGATGCTGCAAAATCTCCATTCCCACCCCGCTCCAGGGGAAGGATGCTGCAAAATCTCCATTCCCACTCCACAGTATATTTTAAGCAATGCAATTGTCCTGGGTTTTTCTACTGTTGGTAGGATGAAGGACTACTCCTACATACTTGAAAAAAGAGACATGCTCAATCTTCTGGCCATCTATTGTCCAGGAGTGGTTTGTGTACCCTTTAGCAAATGCCATCCTTTTGGTTTTCTGATAATTGAGTTCTAGCTAGACTTTCTTGCAATACTGTGTTAGAATCTGCAGCATATAGGAGTACAGACAATGCTACTGGAATTATGCACAACTTATATTTGGTTCTGAGTTTAACATTAATTCAACTCAGAGAATCTATGATAGAGGCTGTATTCGCTTCTAGAAGAGGTGTCCTGAGCACCAACAAAGTAACTGTTGGGATGAGTGACCTGTTCCAAAAAGATGTGAATACCATTTTCTTCCCTATTTTGTTTTGTCTGTGTACACTTGCTGATGCCACTTACTTGTTTTATGCCTGTTTCATTAGTTATTTCCTTTAGATGGCGCTATCTTTCTGTTCCCAATGTGTCACCTAGTCTGCAATTTTCTCCATTATCCTATTGCCAGACTTTTTCACCCCAGCACTATGCCCAATATTTTTCTGCTATGGATTCTTGCATTTCCCATTTGTTTTGCATCCACATCATGCAATAGTGATCCTTCTTTCTTTCCTTTCCTCCCTCCCTCCGTCCCTCCCTCCCTCCTCATAGATGGTCTTGCCATGTGTCACCCATCATCTTTTCTTTGGAATCTGCCCAGAACTACATTCATTCCATCTTTTCTATTCTTCCTGTGCTGTCTAAGGTTTCACTTTTAGGTGATGCTGCTATTTGTTCTTGGGGTGTGTTGAGGACATTCTAGTCCCCTTGGCATTTCTCCCACCTACAGCATGTTTCATCTTCTCTGAATTTAGGAGTTTCTCCAAATAAAACTCTAATTTCGCAATAACCCCATTTTGGGTACTGTACAGTAGATAATCATTACATTGACAGTTTTAAAAATAGGGATATACATGGGAAATTGAATAGTTTCACAAAAACAAGAGCTGCAAAACTAAGCATAAAGAGAAATGAAACTATTAGTATCGTATAATTGTCTTCAGATTTGGCTCGGTATTCAGCAGGTGTGGCTCAGAGCCGTGTTGAATTATTCTTCTGTGAATGTTTTTTTGTGAGAGGTTCCTCTCTTTGATTCTCAGTGAACAACCATGTTCCAACACTATATTGTGAGAAACAATATTTTAACTTAAGCAAAATCCATATAATGTCATATTGTCTTAGTTGAAAAACAGTTGGTAAAGAAAACTATCTCATATCTTTCAGGCTGATGCATGCCATGCTTACCAAATTGTGCATCGGAATGGTATACCAGATGAACAAATTGTTGTTATGATGTATGATGACATTGCTTATAATGATGAGTAAGTAATAAACATTTAACCACAACAATGCTACAATAAAGTCACAAGGTTTTTTTTTCTTATAGAGTCTCAGTTTCACAACTTCACATTTGCTTACTGTTGAGTTTCCTGTAATGCTTTCAGGCATGTCCACAATCAACTGATTTGGGCTTGTCCAACTGCCTTAACATCCTATTTTTTCTCAGGAAACAAAAACACAAGATTGCATTCCACTGGAATGATCAATATAGATAGTTCTCAACTTATGACCAATTTATTTCATGTCTGTTGACTGTCATGACAGGCTCACTATGGATACTTTACAGCCCTAAAGCACTTTCAGCCATCATAAAGTCTTGCACCGGGTCCCCTAGTCCCATAAGTGCATTTTGAGTGCTTGACAACCTGTTCTCATTTACAACTAGTGTCCTGTAATTGTCTCTGCCAGCTTCCCCAAAAAGTCAATGGGGAAGCCATTAGGGAATGTTGCAAGTGAAAGGGATGATGGATTTGAGATTGTTTCCCCAGTGCACCAAGGAATTTGCCCTCCCTTCTGCACTTCCACTATGCTGGAGGAATGGACCTCAAATCTGGCAAAATTGCTAATGAATTTCAACGTTCTGGAAGACTCAGAATACTGGCATTTACTAGTGTTTTCTCTCTGGAGAGGCAGAAACTAGTGAATGTCAGTGTTCAGAATCTTCCAGAATGACGGTGTTTGCAGTCATTCTCTCTGTTGATCTTACTTAAGATCCTGCTTATTAAAAAAAAAACCTTGTATCTACTCCATGATACCACCTAAAAATGTGGCCAATCCATGATCTATAAACAAGGAAAGGATAATATTTTTCATAGGGACTGAGGGTAAGATAATGAAGTAATGTTAAGAATCCCCCCAATTTTTTTGGGGGGGGGGTTATTACCTCAGCATACAAGATATGTATATCTAAAAGTCTGAAAATGCTGTGTGTATATTTTCTTTTCTTTCCTTTTTTTTGTTAGTTGTAGACTAATATCGTCATAATAAAATTGGAGGAAAAGGGAAATTAAAGGGAGAAAGTTTAATGGATCAGAATGGGAAAATTGGCTTCCCTGAAAGAAAAAAACTAGATTTTCTCCAATGATTAGAAATCTTATTTAGCATTAGATCTGCTTTATAGAAGGTTCTCCTTTCTATTGCAGTTGATGTTGTGAAATCTCTGGAGACTGTGATATTTTATGTACGTCTGTAATATTCATACACTTTCCATTTCCAGAAATCCAACCAAAGGCATTATTATTAATCGCCCAAATGGCACAGATGTATACAAAGGAGTATTAAAGGACTACACAAACGATGTAAGTGTCTGGTTTTCTTGCATGTTTATATTGGAACAGAAGAGCTAATTGGTGATGAAACAGTGCTTGTTGCTATAAAAGCAGTATTTAAACCCAAATTTAAAAATAACCAAATAACAAGAGAATGCAAACTATGGAAAATGCTATTTCATTTTGGCTTTTATGCTCCTGGAGGCCATTTTAATCCTGGACTCCATATCTAGTTTTGTTACCAGTCAGTTGGCATGTATTTTCTCTGCTCTCATCATTCTCTCTAATAGGCTTTTTCTTTAAGATAGGAGTCTTATCCCTCTGGTTGAGAAACATTGTTGTTGCTTATGCATAATGAAGGTTTTATTATCTTACATATAGCAATAAGGGCAGGATATAAATACATTCATAGATATGCTGGTTGTGGGTTGCTTGCTACAGATCCAGAAGGTAGAGCTCATTTCGGTTTTCAATTTGTACCGATCTGTAGGATGTAACACCACAGACCTTCCTTGCCGTGCTGAGGGGTGATGCGGAAGCAGTAAAGAATAAAGGATCAGGAAAAGTAATACGAAGGTAATGGGAAAAAGGACAGATTAGGTTTCCAAAAGATGACTTTATTGTTAATGTAATTTTACAGAGACTGAACATAAATAAGTGATGTGTTATTTCTTATTTTACAGTGGCCCCAAGGATCACATATTTGTTTACTTCACGGATCATGGCGCCCCTGGAATTCTGGCTTTTCCAGATGATGATGTATGTTTTTCCACACAAAATGCCTGCCTATGTGTCTGCAAGGAAATCAAAAAGGAGAGGAAGGGAGAGAAAGCTCCTGGGTGTTTATTTCTTTGGTGCTTTATGAAAAGGAAACCAGAATATCAGTTCCTGAATTTGACATGGGAGCCTTGAAAAAATAGTTTCTGAATGTTGGGAGGGAGGTCCAGATGTACGTATGAATAATAGTATGAAAGAATGCATGCATATTGATTGAGAATTGTAATGAATTTTCCAATTAGTATGTGTGTGTGTGTTTGTGTGTGTATTAGATTCACTATAAGAATTGAGTATAAATAATAATTGCTTTGATTTCTGAATATATATCTTCTTTCTCTAACGTGGATATATTGAAGTTAGATAAATTATAAGATTCATTTTACTTCCAACAATTTGATTTTACCGACACAGGGACTAAACTCAAAAATCAGCCTTCTCTTTAATCTCATATTCATGGATAATTATGCTAGTATATTCTCAAGATGTAAGAGTTTCATATAATTTTGGGAGAGGAATATGCACTGTATGTTTCTAATTTCATTTGCCTGAGAGCTAATTGTGAACAATTTGTTTTCCAGCTCAAGGTGCAACACCTGAACAAGACAATTAGGTATATGTACCATCATAAAAAATACCAAAAGGTAAAATTCTTACTCAAGATATAAAAATAATGTAGAATATTTCTTTGTAGCTTCATCTGTAATTTTTACAAGAGTTTAATGGAATGGATGACATTATAGAAAATTAGAAGTTTGTGTTACCAAGTATGAGGAATTATACTATAGCAGTAAACCTACAGGCTTTGTTATTTATTGCAATTGACTGCATGAAAAATCTTGGTTTTGAAATGCCTGGGAATCATATAGCATTCAGTTCTATACTGTGATACAATAAATTATACACTAATAAACTGCTTGGAATGTGGCCTTGTTCACAAAATTATGAGGAAAATGCAAAGGAAATTGATGTTAAATCTGGGCTCAGTTATATGAAGGATTCTTTTTGTCAGTACTCTTGCTGTTATAACTCTGGTATGATTAATGACAAGTAAGAGTTAATTTGGGATATAAAATGTAAATAAAATAAGAGCAAATTCCACTCCTTTTTAGCACTGATGATGTTACCTATAAATCATCTGTAAGATAACCACCGAGCTCAGAGAGCATGAAGGACCCCATAGGTCAACCCTGCGCTACGAATATTTTATCACTACAATTCACTTTTTAAAAAAAGTACAATGGAAAATTCAGTGCCACATAGCTAAGCTGTCATCTGTTTTCAACGTCTGAATTGAAACCCAGATGCTTATATTATTCTCTGCTTGATGTGAATGCTCATTTCCAGAGAAAAGGATAAAATAGAACCCCTTTTCTTCAATTCTATTAATCCAGAGATTCCTAAGTAGGACTTTGTTGATGTGTCCAATTTATATTCCCTTTGCAATGTCTTAGAGACTTGTATAATAAATCATCAAATTTGAAATAGAGGTTTTAAAAATAATTGTGTTTAAATGTGCCGTGTTTTCATGTAAACAGTTTGGAAAGAGTTTGAAACTGCCTTTCTGTCAGCTTCTTACAAAATTTGTCTTTGCCAACATATGTGAGAACTATAACTCCCACAGGATTCCCAATCACTGGGAGTGCTGATTAAGAATTATAATCTCAATGTATCTTGAGGATTCTAGATCAGAGAAGGCTGGTTTAAAAGGCAAAATACTAGAGAGAAATAGTGAACCCACCACTGCTAAAATATGTTTAATGAAGTCTTCTGTAAATTACAGATGGTTTTTTACATTGAAGCATGTGAGTCTGGATCAATGATGGAAAATTTACCTAAAGATATTAATGGTAAGTGATTAGTCAGTGTTTTGATCTGGAAACCAATAAGTAACATTAGTGAAAACTCAGTTTAAAGGAACATTTGAAGGACAAATTCTCAATCCTTATAAATCCAAATTTATATCATAGACATTCATTTATGAAATTATAGTAATTTGTAAAATCACATAATTGACACTTTCATATAATTTGTGCCCATTTATTTGTTGATGCAATTTGGGTGCCCACTCATTGCAGTTGACTTTGGGAGGCTCACAAAAATCAATAGCATGAAAACCACAGAATACAAAAATAACCAAAGCAAGTACAAAAATAAGTTCAGAATAAAATGGTAATCCAACAACAAAGGAAACATTTTAAAAAATCACAACGAGGGAAGTCTCATCCACCTTAACCCAAAGTCTGGGAGATCAACCAGGTGTTGAAGTCCTTCTGGAATGCTATATGGATCTCAGGGACTTTGTTCCAAAGGGGAGATACCACTACAGAGAAGGCATATGCTTCCTGGGTCCCGAAAGATGACACTCTTTAATTGAGACGTCTGGAGCATGTCCACTAGGCTGGATTGTACTGGATAGGCAGAAACCATGGGAGACAGGAAGCCCCACAGATATCCAGGCCCTATGCCATGGAGACTTTATAGACGATAACACACCTTGAATTGCACACAGAAGCACGCTGGAGCAGAGGGACATGGACATTTTGGACTAATTTAAGCTTCTGAATGATCTTCAAAGGCATATCCATGTACAGCATTTTGCAGTAGTTGAGATGTGAAGTGACATTTATCTCAGACTAAAAACAATGAACTTGACTGTTCTTAATGGTTTGATTGGCTACATACAGTAAAATGATTATTAATCCGAGTTTTCATTGTAGTTCATTTCAGCAGATAGGACAGTATAATTGAACTACCAGTTAATTATGGTTTAACAATAGAGAACCTTGGCTAACTTGCCACTGGCTGACATTTTACTTATTTTGTATTTATTTTTTTCAGTCTTCTAATACTTAAAACTTTACATTTTGAGGGGCATCTAATAGTATTTTGTGAATAGAACTAAAAAAAAATCCTGTGAAAAAGTAACTTTATGACCAGTCCTCATGTTTACCCTCTTTGCAGGCCTATAAAGCAAACAAAAGATGAAACAAGATCATAAACACAATTGTGGTTTCACTTAGTGACCACTTTGCTTAACCACTGAGTTGTCAATCTCAACTATGGTTGATAAACAATATCTGTAATTCTTTTCAAGTGTTCAGAATCACTGACTTTGAAATTGTTGAAGAACCATTAAGAATGTGCAAGCCACACAAATTGTTTGTGGTCAGAAAGAACTATTTGCATTATTTATGTGTATGAAAAGAGGCCTTATTCTTCAGACTTCTTCCAGGCCTAGATCAAACTTTAAACGGCCAAAATGAAGACCAAAATAAGTTATTGTTGATACATTCTTCAAAGATTTAAAATGTAAAGTTGTATTTAGTCAAAGTTCTCCTCAAATTAATGCCAGCATATTCATTAGCATTTAGGATGTGAGATCACCTAGTCCCTTTTG